TAAATATTGTATGATTGTTATCTCTTCTTCTTGGATTGCTCCCTTTTCAAGTATATAGTGACTAACTTTGTCTCTTTTGATCAATATTTGCTTGGAATCCACTTTTTCTGCAGATAGCATAGCTATACTTGCTTTTTTCTGGCTCTCTATCACATGTAGTTTTTTTTCCCCTCCTTTGATGTTCAATCTATGAATTTCTTTTTGAGTTAGTTTCTTGTGTGCAGCATATTGTTGGATTGTGCTTCTTGATCCATCCTCTCAATATGTTTCTTTTGATTGGTAAATCAAGACCATTTACATTGATTGCTATAACTGATTATGTATTGACTTATCTTTTGATATTATTTTCCAATTGTTATTTCTCTTCACTCTCCTCTGATTAAATGTTTGCTTTTTTTTGATGGATTCATTAAAATTCCTGAAATTATTGTCTTCATTGTCATTTTCTAGAATATCCTTCAGAACTTCGTAGAGTGCTTGTTTTGTGGTCATGAATTTCTTCAGGTGCTCTTAGTCATAGAAGCATTTTATTTCTCTGTCATTTTAAAAGGTAATTTTGTGGGGTACATCTGTCTGGGTTTGAGGCTGTTTTCTTTTAAAGGTTAAAATATTTCACTCTAAGCTATCCTACTAAGGTGATGTGTTAAGGAATTTGCTGTTATTCTGATGAGATTTTTAAAATCAGTGATTAGTTTCTTTTCTCTAACAGCTTTTAATATTCTGTTTTTGTTTTGAATTTTTGGAATCTTTACTATTCTAGGCCTTAGTGTAAATTTCTTTTTTTTTGATCATGGCTAATTGGAGTTCTGTATGCCTCATTTACTGTATGCCAAATTATTTCCCCATACTTGTAAAATTTTCTGCCATTACTCCTATGAACAGGTTTTAAAAAAAATTTTGTGCTATTTTCTGATTAATTTTTGATTAATCTTATGTTATTCTTCTTTGCATCATCTATCAGCTGTTGAATTGACTTTTGTGTGTGTATGTGGTCCCTTGTTTTCTTTAAGATGTTTGCTAACCACAAACCTATTTCCTAGATCTGATATTCTGTATTCAGAATTTTGGTTGATTTTGCTGCATACAGTTTCACCAGAATTTTTAATCTCCTCTATATTTGTTTGAATCTGTTTCATGGAATCCAGTTCCTTCCTATGTTGGGCATTCATGGTCTCCACCACTTTCCTAATCTCCTCTATACTTTTTAAATCTGTATCTACTCTAGATTCACTAACCATGTCCTTCACTATGGTCATCATCTCTTTAGTTTTCTGTGTAATTGTTTCTGATTTGTTCTTTTCCAGAACTTCATTCCTCTAGTTTGTTACTTCTACTGCTACCATTGCAGAAAGTTCAGCCAAATAGCTTTTGATTTCTTCCACTTCATTGCTCCCTGTATTTGCCTTCGGGGAGCTTAAAGTCTGGCTTCCATCAGGCTTCCATGTCTTATCATTTTGTATTCTTTACAAAATTTGTTTTCTCCATTGACACTTATGAACTGCTTATGGTAGTTAGCTTAATTATCAATATCAAGACCTGCTTAGGAAATGACTACTTTTCCAAGTTGTCTTCTAGGTGTAGGTGGCTTTTGGCTTTTGAGTCTGCCCCAACATCCTGCCTCTTCAACTGATTATGGGTGAGAAGTTGCTGCCTACTTGGCATGGCAACCAGTTGTTTGGTACTAGACTATGGTATAGTTTATGACACCTAGATGATGTCAGTATTGGCATGTAAGAAAGAATAAGTGATCACAATCATGTCACCTAGGCTAAATTAGTATAATCAATAATAATGATAACATCAAGCACAGCCTATTAGAAAAATGACACATTGTTATAACTCTTAATTTGCTACCTTTAACCATAAGTACAAGATTTATAGTTGTATAATAAAATCTAAAATAAATCAGAAAATTGTATACAGTAAATATCCCCTCAGTTGAGTGATTTCACCCTCAGGGGAGGAAAATTTAAAAGGTTAAGAGGAATAAAAGAAATTAAATAAGAGGAAGAGATTAGAAGCAAGCCTGAAAAACAAAGGAAGATTACTCAAGCTTTGGGAAACTGGTGAAGAGACAGGAAGGAAGGAAAAAACAAAAACAAGAGTGAAAAACAAAAAGTAAAAACAATGTTCATACTCATAAATAAGCAAAAACAATTTAAAAAAGAAGGAAAGGACATTTCTCTGTGACATTATCTTGTGGTTATCTTCTGGAGACTACAGCCTTGTGATAGTGTCCAATTCAGGGTATGTCTCTGCTGTCACTGGTAGACAAAGGAGCCAGACAGAGTCCCAATTTGTGCCAGATGATCCCAGCAAGTCTGCAACAGGATTAGGGTGGATTGCTAATTTTGGTGTTTTCAACTCCACAGAAGTTCAGGTTGATCTGGTTGTGGAGTGGAGGCCCGAGTTTTTCAGCCTATAACATTCTATGTGTCTCTTGCCAGCCTTATCATGAGTCCCTGACCTGAGATGCCTCGCATGGTTTTGCATCACTCACTGAGAGATCTGAGATGAAGCCAACCCACAGCTGTTCTGAACCCTTGGTTCAGTTAGCCTTTCCCTAAAATAACTTCTGGCCAAGCTTAAAAGGATACTTGGAAAGGAGTTGCTTACCAGGTGTTGTAGCTCACAGCATCTACTGCTCCACTCTACCAGTGTTTCTTCCTTGAGGCCTTTATAGGCACCTACCTTCACTGTGTCTCTGTAGATTCGAGCCTCCTCTCTCATGCTGCAAGCTGGGAATCAGGGAGAAAGTGAAATTTGCCACCTCCCTTTTCTGCATTGCAGTCTGCCTCTTTACTTTCCCTCCAATTCTCCTTTCCAATCTGCTATGATTTACTGCTCTGCCATCTTCCCAGAAGTCCTGTGTCTCAGGAACTATTTCTTATAGATTACACTAGACTACTGGTTGCTAAGATACCTTCCAAAGCTAACATTCTTTGGGTGAATATGTATATTAACTCAATCAGTGACATTTATGAAGTGCCTCTCCACATGCGATATTTTGCTAATATAATTAGATTGCCAGAAATGTGATTTGTGCCTCTGATTGTCTATAGTATACTATATTAATGATGTGCTGATATTAATGATATTTTTAACATCAACAGCATACTAATTTCATTTATAAAATTAAATGAAAATAATTTTGCATCTAAAAATATTGACCAGAATAGTTAGGAATTGTTATAGTTTGATCTGGAATATCCCTAAAGGCTCATGTGTGAAAGGTTTGGCTATTAAACTGTGGTGCTACTGGGAAATGGTAGGACATTTATGAGGAGGGACCTAGATGAAGGAAGATAGGTCACCAGGGGGATGCCATAGCACTGGGGATATTGAGACCTAGGCCCCTTCTGTCTCCCTTTTCTTCTCAGCAATCACTCAGAGCAGCTTTGCTCTACTACACACTATTCACCATGCGGTTTGGTTTTCCCACAGGCCCAAAGGTAACAGATCAAAGGACTGTGGGCTGAAGCCTCTGAATCCATGAACTAAGGTAAACCTTTCCTTTTTATAAGTTGTTTATCATAGCTACTTTGTCATGGAAATGGAAAGCTAACACCTTAATGTATGATGCTTTATTCCTAAAATATCCATTTTTATCACTTATCAATATTATAATTTGTCAGTATACCCTGTTTCATTTTCAGTTGCTGTTTTTAGCCAAGGAAGACTGAAAATTAATTTTATGTGCCAACTTAGCTTGGCTACAGTACACAGTTATTTATTCAAACCGTAATCTAGATGTTGCTATGAAGGTATTTTGTAAATGTGGTTAACACTTAGAACCATGTGACTTTAAGTAAAAGAGATCACCCTTGATGCTGCAGCTGGGCCTCTTTAATAGGTTGAAGGTATTCAGAGCACCATCTAAGGTTTTTCAAGATTACAGCATCAGCCAGGCATGGTGGTGCACACCTGTCATACCAGTTCTCAGGAGGCTGAGGCGGGAGGATTGCTGTTTGTTCAAGGCTAGCCTGGGCTACATAGTCAGTCCAGGTGAGCCTGAACTACACAGTGAAACCCTATCTAAAAAAAACTTTGCAGTATCAACTCCTGTCTGTTTCCAATCTGTTTGTTTGTCCTACAAATTTTAGACTTCCTTGGTCCCACAATTTTATGAGTCAATTTCTTAAAATAAAATCTCTTTCTGTTTAAATCTATGTATCTATCCTATTGCATTTATTTCTCTGGAGAACACTGACTTATAAACGAGTAGATTTGAATAAAAGTTGGCCGAGGTTAAGCAAGTAAAGCTTTCTGAGTTGAGAATAGTTTTCCCTATAGAGGTGTAACTAATGCCATTTAAGGACCAACTCCATTAACTTGATCTCAGGGGAGCACCATATTGTGCCATAAAGATCCAGAGTGTTGAGGCCTAGACCAAGACATTAATTTTTTAATGAGACATTTTATTATTTAAATTATATTTGTTCCAGGGTCAGAATATGGAAACTCAGAATGGCCATGAGTTATCACAATGGAAATTTCTTTGCTGTGGTTTTTAGGTTAATGTTGACCACACAACCATTCCAGTGAAAGATGATGCCGTTAGATGTACCATGTGCCAAGGAGTAGAGTTTATATTCTGTATTAGACCTCTGTCTTCTACTTGAAGATTAATTGCTATAGAGAAATAAGCAATCCCAGTCAGCAAGAAAGAATTTAAAAAATGGATTTGTTTTAAAATAATAATCACATCTAATGACAACATGACTTTTGATTTCTTTTAGAGACTACATATATCTTTGTGTGTGTGTGTGTGTGTGTGTGTGTGTATTACTGGAAATTAAATCCAGGGGTTCTCTACCACTGAGCTAAATATCCAGATTTATTTATTTATTCATTTATTTAAAAGTTCTTGCTAAGTTTCCAATATGGGACTCCAGCTTGTGATCTTCCTTCCTCAGCCTCCCAAAAAGCTGGAGTTACAGACACACATCACCATGCTGAGCTTCACATCTGTTCTTGTTCTAAGCACCAACATCGCTTAAATTGTTACTTTCTGTGTTGTTGATAGGAGTGCATTTTCAAATTTATGTTTATGCATATTCACAATTTTTATGTAAACAAGATTTACTCAGAAACATTTCCTTACAGCACTGAAATTATTTCCACTCAATATGTGCAGAAAAAGGCAGTGGTAGTTTGGACCATTTTCCTAGGAAGAGTCAAAGAGGTTAACAGTGGATCTCTATTTCTCAAATGATTCCTCCCCATACTCACTAGATCAAGGCTTCATTTGTAGCTTGTTTTGTTTCTGTTGTTTTATGAACTTAATGTACTTAATTGCAAACAATAAAGAAAAAAATGATGAGCAATTTATATATCCACTTGCTATATACTGTCCATGTATTCAATTCCATATCTACGTAAGCACTTGAAAACAATCAGGAAAATGTGTTCCTGCATCACTGCCTTCTAGGATTTTGTTTCTGCTACCTTGAACATCAGCTGCTACAAAAGATTCTGTATACAGAACACACTTCTTCAGGGCATACAAGTAGTAAATAAGACACTCTGCATATTATCAGGAATCACCACATAGAACTCACGTGAGTAAAGCAAGCTGCCCAACAGTATTTGTATTGTTGTGCATGTAATGGTATGTGTGCACACTTAAACAGAAAAAAGTCCGGAAAGATACAGAAAAAGTTATCTGTGGTTTTCTTAAGGGAAGTGCTGAGATGTGGAGCTGAAGAGAAACAATTTCTTTTAAATTCTATATAAAAAATGACTTGGGGATAACTAATACTGTTCAAAAGTATTCTAATTAAAGCTCTTGGAAAGTGTCAGTCACAAATATAAGGAAGAACCAAGGTACTGTTACAAATTGGAGCAGATTAAGGAGAAATGAAAATTGAATGTAACATGGTATCCTTTATTGGATACTGGCATAGAGGAAAAGGGCATAAGTACCAAAAAGTGTGAATTCCAAATGAAGTCTGTAGTTTAACTAGTAGTATTGTACTAACGTTAATTTTTAAATTCAAATATGTTTGTTGTTATTTTTTTTAAAGCATTGACAGGTTAGTGCCAGGAATCACTGAACTGAGGTTCATAGCCATTCGTAGTTTACATGAGAGCTTATTGGAAGGACAACACCAGAAGACTGGGCAGCAAGTCATTAGCAGTTGTCTGAGTTAATATGCTTCAGTGTGTTCTGTGAGCTTAAAACCTTCATGGAGGAATGGCAGCGAGTGGAGGAAGAGACAATAGAATTTGATGAGGAGAGATTAACACAGGATGGGGTTGGAGAAAAGTGGCAATGTTACGTGATGCTCTTGGAGTCCACACAGCATATTACATAATCACCTGGCTGGTCCTTCAACAGGGCACATGCTCTGTTCTTACGCCAATTTGCATAAGTAGAGGTTTCGGTGTCTTTGTAAATGTACCTTATCAGTGAAGATGCCATTTATGGTGGTGAAAACATCAGGCCACTTTGTTCAAATTCACAAGATTGGGAAGCACCATTCCCTCTCCTTTCCTAGTTCCTATTTCTCTGAGTTGTAACAAGTTCAAGGACATTGCAGCTTGTCATAGGCAAGGAATGGATGAGGGGAAGGAACTAGTGATGGCAAACCTTATAGAGCTTTCAGTGATACAAATGGCCGGTTACAGCATGCATGCCATAGGTTCAGCACTACTGGACTAGGGTAAAGAACTGTCAGGGCTCAGGTATTTAAAAGCATTGCACCAGCTGTCAAATATGCTACACATATTTTGAGGTTTTCTCCCTCTGACCATCCTGGCTCCCTCAGCAATATTTATTAATAAAGAGAAATTTACCTAACATACTCAAATTGTGGCTCATAGACTGATGGCAGTATCTGCGAGCTTGTGAGAAATGCATTCTCAGACTCCAACCCACCCCTGTTAAATCAGGATCTCTGGGTTTGGGGGCCAGGAACAAAGTCTTGCAGATGGTTCTTAGGCACACCTAGGCAACCCTCTGCAGGCTGCTCTTCAGAGCTTGCGTGACGTTACTGTGCTACTGGGCACAGCTGTGTGGTGCGGGTGTTTACAAAGTAGCCAAAACTCCACAGAAAAGGAAACTGAGCCATGATCTCATTGCACATAGACCAAGGGGAAAAACAATCTTTTCTTAATCTGCTCATGCTACATCCATGCCAATAAATTTGCAAAACATAAAACACCTCTACTATGACTAACTGTTTTGAAATTGTAGACAAGAGGAGAGGTTGAGTAGTTCAGAGAATTTTGACAAAATAAGTTGTTTTGGAAGTCTGAAACCCCTTTCTGATTCTTGCACTGACTTTCTGTAAATATTTAAAGCTAAAACTGGGCTTCACTCCTGCTTTTAGTACTAGCACTCAGTTCAAGGGCTGTTTTATTATAGCTAGTCAATGAAGTTTCAAAAATGAGTAAATAAGGAATGAAGTTAAATGAAGTCTTTACTACTGTGCAGTATTTTGAAACTGCTCTAGGGGACAATCCATTTCCTTGCTCATTAGACTGTGGGCAGATTTCAATTCCTACAGCTGTAAGGCTGAAGTCCCCATTGTTTTTAGCTGTCAGCCCAGGGCCTTGCCTAGATCCTAGGGGCTGCCTGCATTCTTTTCTGGTTACTTTCTGTCTTGACAGCCCACAGTAGGGGCTCGAGCTCATAGGAGCGTAGGTCTCTCTTTCTTATCCTGCTCACATCTTTCAGCCTAAGCCTTCCCCTTCCTCTTCCACTGTTAAAGACTCCTGTGACCAGATGTGGACTGCTCATATAATCTAGAAGAATCTCTTTATATGAAGGCTCAGAGTCTCATTGTATCTGCAAAGGCAGATACAATGTAAGGTAACATATTCTCAGATTCTGGAAATACGGACATTGGCATTGTTCAGGGGGCTATTTTTCTGGCTTGTAGATTGTAGAATCTATTATACAAAGTATGTTGAAAGTATCAGAATCTTAGTAATTTAATGGAGAACAGAGAAGATGTTTTTGTAGAATGCATTAGCGCAAGGTACCAACAGCCAGAATAACCCTGAGTGACTGTGACTCTAAAAAATTTGTTAGTTAATTTGCTGTTAATTTGTTAGTAGTTTCCTACTATCACCAGTTTAAAACTCTACTGGGCCTGCTCCTTTGTCCATACGATCTTAGATAGCAAGCTTTAACCCTTTCTCCTCTTTCTTTTGCCTGCCTTCCAATCAAAGTATACTAGGGACAGTTGACAGTTATGGATCACGTTACCAGAAGTTGGCATTTCCACTCAAATCATCTCATTAATTTATTACATCATCTCGAGTATTTATATTGTCATTTTAATGGTAAGAAGAGGCTTAGAAAGTTTAACTAAGTCAAGATAGTAAGTAGCAGAGCTTAGCTTCTGCCGCATGCCCCTTCTGTTCACTGTCACACAACCTGCCTCCTTCTCATGGCCTGTGGTTGTCCCTCCTAAGAAATAAACAGCAAACCTAACTCAGGCCAATATGTAAAGGCTCCTTCATAACGAGCTCTCAGGCCCTAAAGGACAACAG